GCACTACCACACCCGGCTAATTTTTGATTTATTATAGAGATGAGGTCTCGCCAAGTTGCCTGGGCTGGTCTCGAACCTGTGGGCTCAGGCAATTCACTCACCTCGGCCTTCCAAAGTGCTGGGATCACAGGCTGAGCCACTGAGTCCGGCCTACTTTGTTCTTAATATTTTGAGAGCTCTTTACATATTCTGGATCCAAGTAATCAAGAAGCCATGTGATCTGCTAACACTTTCTGCCAGCCTTCATTCTTGAACAGTATCTTTCGAGGAGAAATGTTTTCATTTTGATGGAGGTTCAATTTATAAATTTTCTCTTTCATAGAGTGTCTTTGATGCCATATCTAGAAACTATTTGCTTAAGCCAAAATCTCAACAATTTTTCTATGTTTCCTTTCAGAGGTTTCTAATTTTAGGTTTTCTATTGAGGTCTCTGATCCACTTTAACTTGTCTATGCAGTCAAGTTCCCCTTTTTTGTAAGGATATTCACTTGTTCCAGTACCTACTTGTTCAACCAATTTGCTTTTGCTTTCTAATTTAAAATTATTTCCAACTTCAGAGAGCTCCAAGAATACAAAGAAAACCCAGACTCACTGACTGTTGCCACAAACACATCTACCTTATCACTCCCACTTCACACAAACGTCAGGGGTTTTCCTCCTGAATCATGTACCCTTACTTTCATCTCCAAGGGGGCACCAAAAAAAAAAAAAAAAAATCAGAATTATTCCTCAGAGAGTGGGCCCCTTTAGCCCAGGCTTCCCCGACTAGGTAAGTGTTCTAGAAACCAATCAGCATCAGTGTACCAGCTAGCGTAGTGGTGAGAGGCTGTGTTTGGCTTCAGTGAATGTTTGGGAGCACAACTGCCCACACCACGCTGAGTTTGAGTATTCAAAGTTTTTGACCAAAAGCAGCATGACCCCCATGACCCACTCTCCCTATTGATCCCATCTTGCCCCAAATGACTTTTCTTTGTTTCTCCAGATGAAAAAAGTCCTCAAAGGAAAACATTTTGCTGATGTGGAAGAGGTGAAACAAAAACCAACAAGTATTAAAAGGCATCAAAACTGACAAGGTCGGAAACTGTCTTGAGCAGTGGAAAAAACATAGGTGTATTGCATCAGATGGAGAGTTTATTAAAGGTAACTGAAATTTAAACATCTAAGAATAAATACACAGCTTTTTATAAATAAATTCTGGGTTGTTTTGGATCCCCTCACATATCATCGTATGTTGGTATATCAACTACAATCTGATCTGACAAAAGGGCTCTCCTGTTTTTTAATGAAACAGTTGGAGAAATACTGCTCTTATCAAAAACGTAAGTTGGAATCACTTGGGACCCCAAGCCTTCCTGCTAAACACCAAATGGAAGCTTTTTCTGAGGATCAATTTGTTCTGAAAACCAACCTTGGGCTTAAGAGATGGGCAAAACTGCAACAAAAATCAGGCTATGGGTCAGGCATGGTAACATGTACCTGTAGCCTCAGTTCCTCAGAAGGCTGAGAAGGGAGGATTCCTTTAATCCAGGAGTTTGAACCCAGCCTGTACAACATAGCAAGACCCATGCCTCTTAAAAAAATTTTAAATTTAAAAAACCAGGCTATTAAAAAAAGCAGCAGCGCTGAAGAAATTTATATATTGTAGTTTTAAAACTGATAAGAATCAATGATGTTAAAATTACCTTAATTCAGCAGTGCTTCTGGTCTGGTCTCCAATGCATGTAAACTTGTCTGTAACAAACACAAAAGGTTTATTTGTATTGCATTCAGGTGGTAAAGAAAATATTCCATCTTGCTAGTACATTTTAAGCAAGAACATACAAATCTACCCCTTCCCTATTACTATTTCTCACCCCAAGTTGCTTTTACTTAGTAAGTACTATTGTTGTATTTTTTTCAATGTAAAAAAACAAAACCAAAATTTGATCAACTTATTTTTGAATTTTTAATAAAAAAAAAAAAAATCAGCCTACATCATGCTTTGAGATCTCAATTTCTTTCTGAAGAATCCTCAGAAATGTCCTAGGGAAATACCTTGAATGACACTGAAAAGCACAGGAGGTAGGGGTTAGAATCCTGTTACAAGAAAAATTACAATAACAATACAAAAGCCACTGAATTCAGTAAGCGTTGAAGGTCACTCTAACCCAGACTTTCCCCCTTTGGCCTGTCAACAGAGAGAATTTCATCTGAATCTCAGGGAAGCCACTGGTTAACTACTTCCTGAGTTGTGGCAAGTCTGTAAGGAGACATTTCCATCCCTCCCTCTGTCCCTCTCCTGCTACCCCATCCCTGCCTGTGCCTGGTAATCTCTTCTGTAATCTCTCCTCCAAAATAAACTGTGTGAAAAGACCTCTTTTGGAGGTTTTCCAGGTCATCTGTCTATCATAATCTATATCTTGAGAGTCCACAAACTCATATGCACAGGAGTCTGGGTGAGAAGAGGGACAGCAGGCTGAACTGTCACCCAGTTGAACTATGAATTCTAAGTATTTACTTAACAAAGCAACTTAATTTTGGAATCAAGCTACTTCTGTATAATCAAGTGCATACTTTTCTGGCAGTAAAACTGGGTGTGGAAGAAAATCCGTTGACAGCGCCTCAAAAGGCTACACACAGAATGACCCCCATGCCATGGCAACTCTACCCCCAGGTTTATATCCAGAAGAACCAACGCACCTGTTAGGCACACAGCAGTAGTGTTTAAGAGCTAGAGAGTGGAAAAAGCCCTACCATCCATCGACGCACAAATGGGTAAAGGAAATGTGGTCTACCCACACAATGGAATACCACCCAGCCACAAAGAGGAAGGTGAACACACAATACAGCAGGGATGAACCACACAAACGTTATGCTGAAAGAGGCCAGACACAAAAGGTCACATACACAGTGTATACTATTTACATGAAATATCCAGAACAGACTGGGAACGGTGGCTCACACCTGTAATCCCAGTACTATGGGAGGCTGAGGCAGGCTCACTTTGCTTGAGCCCAGGAGTTCGAGACCAGCCTGGACAACACAGCAAGACTCTGTCTCTACAAAAAAATCAAAAAATTAGTTAGGTGTAGTGGCATGCACCTGTAGTCCCAGATACGTGAGAGGCTGAGGCAGGAGGATCACCTGAGGCGAGGTGGTTGAGGTTGCGGTGAGCTGTGATCATGCCACTGGACTCCACCATGGGTGACAGCGAGACCCTGACCCAAAAAACAATGATAAAATGAAATATCCAGAATAGGCAAATCTATAAAGACAGAAGGCAGTGGTTGCCAGGGGTTGAGTATGTTTAATGAGTAACTATTTAACGGGTACAGGGTTTCCCTTTGGGGTGATGAAAATGTTGTGGAATTGGGCAGAGGTGGTGGTTGCACAACAGTGTGAGTGCACTAAATGCCACTGAACTGTTCATTTTTAAATTGTTTAGGCCAGGTGAGGTGGCTCACACCTGTATTCCCAGCACTGCAGGAGGCTGAGGCGAGAGGACTGCCTGAGTCCGGGGGTTCAAGACTAGCCTCGGCAACACGGTGAGATCTCCTCTCTATAATACAACAAAAAATTAACCAGATGTGATGGCGTGCGCTTGTGGTTCCAGCTACTCAGAGGGTTGAGGTGGAAGAGTCACCTGGGCCCAGCAGGTCGAGGCTGTGGTGGTCGTGAGCGTGCCACTGCACTTCGGCCTGGGTGACAGAGACCCATGACTCAAAAATAAGTAAATAAAAAAGTTTAATTTTAGGTTATATGAATTTCCTCTAAAACAAAACCAGGTCAGTGTGGAAGTCAGCGACTACAGGAGCTAATCAGCGAATGCAAACTCTCCAAAGAAGATCCTGTGAGTGCACACCCAACCAGCTTTAAATCAGCAAGTTTCAAAGCCAGGGCTTGCTCTCAGCACAACTGACATTTTAGGCAGAATTTCAGGGTTAGAAGAGGTCTATCTGCTGCAGAATCTTCAGCTGCATCCCTGTCCTCCACCCTCTGGAAGCCAGAAGGGCTCCCTTCCCCAGTCACTTTCATGTAGGAGTTCTCAGCTGTGGTCGATATTCCCCAGCTGTAACAGCCACCAATCTTTTCAAGGGGCAATATCGGCCACAGCTACATGAAACTCCTACATGAGAACTCCTACATGAAACTGACTGTCACAATTATCCCAATCTCTAAAGATCAAGGCTTCCAAATATGTTCCATCCCAAGGGACAGGTAGGAAAGGAAACATCAGTTAAAAATACACCAGTCTGCTCTACTGTGAGTGCCTAGACTGCCTTGTGGCTCCAATCATGATTCATACCCATGATTCCAGGTAGAGTACTGAGATAGATAGTGCATGCCACCTCAGCCTGGATTCACTCGCACAGTCATCTGGACTCACTTCTGGCTACAAACAAGACCCAAATGTCGCTTTTTCTCTGACTACCCAGCCCACAGAACCAGGCACTAAGGACAAGAATACCAGTCCCATGATAATGACCCTACACCAGTAGCACCACCCTTAAAGAAAATCACTGTGAGCTTGCGACTGCACTCCAGCTTGGGTAACCGAGTGAGGTTCCAACTCAAAACACAAATAAACAAACATTTCTAAGAGCCCATAATGTAAGACAGTGTGCTAGACACTGAAGACACAAGCAACCCAACAAATACAAACCCAAAGACAAAGGAACTCTACCAGTACAAATTCAACTAATGAAGACCAAGGGCTAGCCTCAAGTAGACCTAGGTCATTGGGCAAAACCCTGGAAATATACGAGAATGGCCAGCGCTCTCAGTGACCGTGGGCACCACAGCTCACTCAGTCATGGTGCCAACAGCAGGGTGGTCTGTTTCATGATTGTATTAGGTTGAAATCCTTAGGGGATTTCAAAAAAATGAAATTACTATGTAAAGATTAAGTACCCTTTCCAAGCTCTTGATAAAAATCAATGGAAAATATTTTTGACCCTACAGTTAGCAATATTAAAAACTATGATTAACTTCTTTGTACATACATATCCTAGTACGTCATGAGGTCTTAAGTATCAAATGTCAGCACCTGTGTAGCCATGGTTACTTCAGTATTTTCAAAATCTAGGAAGTGAATAGATAATTTCTGTATAGACTACATTAACATTTCCTTCTTTTAATTTTTTTTTTGAATAGGAATCTTACTGTTGCCCAGGCTGGAGTACAGTGACACATTCACAATCACTGCAGTTTCGACTCGCTGGGCTCAGACAATCCTTCGGCCTCAGCCTTCCAAGTAGCTGGAACTACAGGTGTATGTACCACACCCAGTTAATTTTTTGATTTATTGTAGAGACAAGGTCTCGCCAAGTTGTCTAGGCTGGTCTCAAACCCCTGAGCTCAAGGCAATCCTCTCGCCTCTGCCAAAATGCTGGGATGACAGGCGTGAGCCACCACACCTGGCACATTAAAATTTCAAATCAGGCAAAGGCATACTTGTCAAAAATTATTTCTCCTGCCGGGCTCGGTGGCTCAGCCTGTAATCCTGCGCCTTTGGGAGGATGAGGTGAGTGGACTGCCTGAGACTGCAGGTTCAAGACCCACCTGGGCAAGCAGAATGTAAAATGATAATACTGAAACTGATAATGACAACTCTGTATCATAATCTTCAACTACATGCTCTCAAACAGAGGAATGCTTTATTTGAAACAAAAGCTAGAGTTCACTATCAATAAAAAGATGGCAACGCCTATAAAACACAACAATCAACAACAAAAGAAGGTTTTCCAAAGACATTACCTTAATTTAGAATACTCGTAGGGACAAAAAGTCATAAAAAAGTTCTGAAAGTTAAGCCTTGTATTAGTGACATAAGTCTTTCTACTACTTGTATTTGTATGTCAGATAAAATGAGTAACGATGTGGTCACAATTGGGAAGCAAAGTTCACATCGCAGAGGAGGGAAGCATAATACGGAATGAGTAAAGAAAGAACCGCCTGGTGTTCAACTTTAATCTGGAAACAACAGTATGAATTCACTGTACATTTACCCCTATAGGCAATCATTCATGTGTGTGCACGCACATGTGTACCCCCTTTTTTTTCTAGTCGGAGTTTCACTGTTGGAGTCTCACAACAGCCTTGACTTGTTGGGCTCAGACGATCTTTCTGCCTCAGCCTTCCAAGTAGCTGGAAACACAGGCGCATGCCACCACACCTGGCTCATTTCTTGACTTATTGAAGAGACAATGTCTCACCGTGCTGCCCAGGATGGTCTCAAACCCCTGGACTCTCCCAAAATGCTGGGATGACAGGCATGAGCCACCGCACCTGGCAGGAATATACCTTATTGAATTTTTTAAAATGAATAGGCCAGGCTCAGTGGCTCAGCCTGTCATTCCAGCACTTTGGGAGGCCGAGGCAAGTGGATTGCCTGTGCTTGCGGGTTGGAGACCCGCCCGGGCAACTTGGCAAGACCTCGTCTCTACAATAAAATAAAAAATAGCCAGACATGGTAGCATATGTCTGTAGTTCCAGCTACTCGGAAGGCTGAGGTGGAAGGATCGCCGGAGCCCAGCAGGCCAACGCTGGGGTGGCCGTGAGCATCTGTGTCACTGCACTCCAGCTTGGGCGAAGGAGTGAGACTCCAACTCAAAAAAAAAAAAAAAAAAAGAATACACAAGGACACAACAGTCAAATACACACAGAAAGAAACAAGTGGAAGGTTGAAGCGCTTCTTCTCAGGGGAATGCCAATCCACGTAGAAGACAGATGCAGAAAAACACCACCGTGCA